AAAGATAGGTTAGCGAGGGTCGATGTAAGAAAGTTGAAAGTGGGCTGGAAAAACGAAGGGGCGAAAGCTGCTCTCCTTTCCTTCACTTCGCCAATACTTTTGACTAGACATATGCACCGTCAAGGTTAGGAACAGGCTAAGACTATAGGGATGAAAGGCTTTTTCAATGGCAAGGCATGAAGCTTTGGCTCAGTACAGTAGCATTTGACTTTGGGGAAGAGAGTCGATCGCTTACCTTGCTTTGGGTCAGATCCTAACAGGAAAGATTAGATCCAATAAAAGCCGGAAAACAAAGGTCTAAAATTGAAGGCCTTTTATCGCACGTTTGGATAGGGCCTTGAGTGATTATACCTCACAAAATAGAGGGGAGAAATCCCGACTTTCCTATGTTTTAAGATCCCAATGGGAAAATCAAAAAACAAAATAAGGTATGACGTATAATGGTAGTTGAGATCACCTCAGGTTTTCGGAAGTGAAAGCTCGTAGGGAAAACAGATAAAAGAAGATTTGACCTTGCGAGCCCTTACCTGTCTCCCCTTTAGCTTCCTCGGAAGTAAAGTCTCCTACACCTCGGAATGCACAGGTTCGAGTCCAGTTCGTGACAACGTCTTTTCTTTCCAAGAAGACAGCTTCTGCCGGGAAAGAAAGTATCTTATTCAAGGATCATCCGAGAGTGTTCAAAAACTCTCTGCCATTTTATTTTTTTTGATTGGATGGGAATGAATGAAAAAATGTTAAAGCGTCCCAGACCAAATGGGGTATCTTTCTTCTTCTTAGAACTTGTATCGTTTGATAGTGCATATCAAATGAAACCTTGGTCTATACCAAGTAAATTATTTCTTTCAGAAGAAGCAAATTTGGAAGAAAAGTTTGGAAAGTCAGGCGTGAAAACAAAATACTTGCTACCAATTGAACCATCTTTTCTCGTCTAATTTGCCTCCTTTTATGTCAACCACCGTGGAGCTAATAAAATAGGTCATGAATTTTGGTCAAAGACTTGTAAAAGATAGGCCCTAAATGTTCTATCCACTCAAAAAAGGGCAATTTCAAACAGTCTTAAATGGCTGTAGAAAATATTGGCTAGAAAAAATTCTCCCAATCTAGGATTCCTGGCGTCAACTGAGTCCTCTCAGGGATTGCTAAAAGATCATCAATTTCTAGCAGTAGCTTGTTGAAAACCTAACGCCTATACTTGATCCAGGATGTGTGATTTTTTTTGTTGCAAAACTAGTCTCACCATTAGTAAAAATGAGATATGATTAACTTGGGGCCAAATGTAACAACTGAACTAATCCTACGAGACTGAACTTTCACACATTGCGACGAATCATAAATGTACAATCCACAAGAATCGTGGTTGTATTAGAGATTATAATCCTGCATTTCCGAAGGATACTCATGAATTTGGACATCGATTAAGATAGTGAAATCAAATTTCACATTTTGTACACGGATCAGGATGGTTAAGTCAAATTTCATGTTGAATAGAGCTCTAGCAGCCAGACACATAGTATCCAGAAAACCCAAACTTATATAGGACATACAAATGCTGCCTAAATATATATTGGACAGAAATCCATCCATAATCCACATACCATTGGGAGGATGAAATTGATAAATTTGTCAAATCATACAAGGAGCCCATTGCATTTTCATGATAATGTAGGTTCTCATTGGTCGGAAAATCAAACAGCTTCTATCTTCTCTATAACTTTTGAGTTCGACGTATTACACTGTACCTGAACCACAGAAACCATTGTGAACTATACCGCACAGATATATAATTTGACAATGAAATGTCAACATTTAAGTTATGTTATGCTGTAGCCTTGCGGTCACATGATATCAAGAATATCCAGCAAGTCATTCTCCACGAATGGACTTACACCTGAGGTAATATTGACAAATGACCCTTTGTGAAAGATATTTGATTCTATCTTAACTTCAAGAGGAAGCTATATACTATAAATGTGATGAGGATTTGGAATCAAACCTCAACAGTTTTCTCTCTCGTAATTTTGAAACTTCTCTTTGCTTTCTTTGTTACCATAACCTCAGGGATAGTTAGGGTGAAGTGAATATCCCTTGCACATGTATATTGTCAACCAACATATTTTCATAGTGACAAGTACCTGATTTTTTATTTGTGTAACCATGTTTTTTTCTTAAAGACCTGTTGATATATGTCAAGCAAAAGTTCCATTGATCTCATCACTAAAGTTTGTCATCTCAAAATATGACAGATTATGATAATTCCAACAAATTACCACTTGCCCAAACTAATAATTTTCACAAGATTCATGCCCGAAATAAAAGTGAACAACCCTGCGTAAGCGGCTCAAGCTTCTTATTGCAAGTATAGATTTTTTCTACCATCTATGAACAACCATGGCCTCAGCTGCTAAAAGCTACTTGCAAGAACAGAATTTTCAACCAGCCATTCACATGTTATAGACCAGCACACGAAACAGCCAAAAACAGCACGATTTCCATGGTCCAACAATGAAATTATGGGCAAACACAATCACAAGCTACGAGCACCATATCATCAAAAATATAATTACATTAACCATCAAAGATCAAACAAACTTCACAATTCATCAAAGACAACATAAATCTAGAAACCATCATACCTTGGTTTTTCCGAATTCAAGAAACCTGCAAAAACTCAGCTCAATCATCCTCATCACTCTCATCACTAAAATACCCTTTCCTCTTCTCCCTCTTCTCCTTCTTCACACCTCCTTTCTCTCTATCAACCTTCAACAGCCTCTCCTGAGCAGCATCTTCTCCATCCACGACCGACGCCCAATTATCAGTCTCCAAATCACCACCATCTCCATCTTCCTCATCATCCGGTGGACCATACTCACTGCTCTTGCCTCCAATTCCTCCCCAATTACCACCTCCACCACCACCGCCGCCGCTCCTCCGCCCTTTCTTCTCCACAGGCCGCTCCCTGGGGCCGAGAAAGTTCCTCGGGCACTCGTACGAGAGGTGCCCTTCCTCGCCGCACTCGTAGCACCTGCTCTTGTCCTTGTACACCTTCTTCCGGATGAACTCTGCCGCGCGGCCGTTGTCGGCGGCGATCGAGGCGCGTAGGGTCCGGCCGTTGAGTATCTTCCCGTCCATACCCCTGGCGGCCTTGGCGGCGTCGTCGCGGCTGACGAATAGGACGAAGGCCACGCCCTTGCTCCGGCGCGTGGCGCGGTCCTTGAGGACAGTGACCTTGGCGACCTTCCCGAAGGTGGAGAAGATGGTGTGGAGATCGGAATTGGTGAGGTTGTAGTCGACGTTGCTGACGTAGACAGTCGATTTTGAGGGGGCTAATCCGCCGCTGCCTGAGCTTCCTCCGCTACCGCGGGAGGGTTTCGATGTGGATGGAGGCGGCGGAGGCGCGGCGGAGGAGTAGCGGTAGAAGAAGGTGTCGTCCTCTTCGTCGTCGCTGTAATTCCTTTTGCCTGACATTTTTTTTTTAAAAAGAGAAATCAATTGATGTTCACTTGTATATTAAAAGCTTAATTGCACCTAAAATCCTCATATTTTGTTTTAAATAAAACTCAACTTTTTTTTTTTTTCAAATAAATATCAAACCTTTATTATGTGGTGCAAATTTACTTCAAAATTATTCTAAGGCCAATTTTGTTAGGAAGTCACAAGATCTTGCTTTAATCTGAGTGTGTTTTAAGATAAAATGTCTGGCAAGAATCAGAAGGATTTTTCGTTATGGACACGCATAGCAGGTATGTATGAACAATTTCGATTAAAATTCGTAAAGAATTTGTGAAAGAAACTTAGATTCAATGAAATGTCGTTATAAACGTTTAAATAAAAATATGAGCAAGTGGAAAGGTGCATACATGGGTGCATACAAGAATAAAAGGAGAGGAATGAGAATGAAAAATGTTGAAAAAGAAGCTCATATAATTTATGAAGCTGGTGGTAGCAAGTTTACAGACTGACATGTGGTTGAATAAGTCATGCGAAAACATCTCAAATGGAAATTTAAATTAGATCGTAATTCAACTCGTTCACGTCTTAAAGTTGAAGTGAGTAATGAAGAATGCCATGGCAGTTCCAAAAGATCAAAGACTACTGAAGATGGAGATTATTCAGTTCCCTCAAATCCAGAACTCCAGTTAGCGATGGTTTTGAGATTCCACGTCCCGAAAAGACAGATTAGGAAAAATGAATATGGAGATGTTGAATACGTTGTTGGCAAAAGACCACTTATCGCCGGAAGATGAAGAGATGAAACGTCATTTAACAACAATTGTATTTGAAAGTCGCTGTAATTTTATTTGACATGTTTGAAACTTGTTTAATGTATTTCGTATTGAATTATGTAATTCAAATTTTTAATTATGTTCGTAATTTTTTTTCGTTGTATTTTAAAATATTAATTTTTTGAAATCATTACAATTTTATTATTAGATTTTTTAATTAATTTATCACAACTAAAACAATACTAAAAAATTTATAGTAGATAACATTTAATAAATAAATAAAAATAAATATTATGTTGGGTTGAGTTGGGTTTGACTGAGAATAAAGATATGTAGATTAGACATGGCCACGGGCGGCCCGGCCCGTGGCCCGACCCGTGACCCGGTACCGGACCGGCCCGGCCC